GCCAGAATTCCATTCTAGGTACAATTTGTTGAAATTGTAAGTCAGTATGTTTTGCCATTGCCGTCAATGGGGTAAAAATTTGACTTCTGGGTAGTGCTCCTTTTTAAACATACATCCACGAATAATTTGAAAGATTTATAGTGAGACCGAGCAAATTTCAGCACACATTTATTTCAACGGTTTGTATTTTTAAATGTTGGAAGTTTCTGATAATTATTTTTAGATAAAAGTAATGACTGGAAAAATTATGGGGATAGTAAAGATGACTAATTACTATATCCTTTCTATATTTGGCCACGAGCATTTCTCAGAAGAGACAGACTGATTTAGTTCAGAAAACGATCCATCAGCAATATGGTCAAATTAGTTTTATTTTATTTTTAAAATACTGCTATTTTATGCTTTTCTCTCTCAACCTTGGTCTACATTAGGAGTCATGTCAAAATAACCCCCCTTATTTCAAAATAAGCGGAGTGTCCACACTATCAACCCCATTATGTCAAAATACAGTAAAACTCCAGTTGTCCGGCATCCAGTGGTCTGACACTCCTGCTAATCCGGAACCACCTGGAACCCGGAAGTGCTCCAGGCAGCTGGACAATTGAAGCTGCCCTGACCTGGGCTTCCCTGAGTCAGCTGCTGGTCAGTTTCAGCAGTGGCTAACTCCGGGAAGCCTGGGGCAGAGCAGCTGGGGTGCTGCCGGGTTGGTCCCGCAGCACCGCCCTCCCACCCCACCCCTTCCGATAGTCCATCATATCCAATAATCCGGCACCCCCTGGGTCCTAAAGGTGCCGGATTATCGGAAGTTTACTGTAATGGGTTGGTTATTTCAAAATCTTTACTCCTGCTTTCCTCAGGGAATAATGCTTATTTCGAAAGTTACTTCAAAACAGCGGTAGCAACGCTACTGCTATTTTGAAATAACTACACACCAGATTAATTCAAAGTAGTTACTCCCCAGTGATTCCTGGGGCTCTAATGCGTCCACAATAATGGTGCCTGCCTCAGACTAATTTTAAGGCTCCCCCAGAGTGGGGGCATGCTATTTTAATTTTGTTATTTCAGGAGTTATTTTGAATTTAGTTATTTCAAAATAATTTCCTAGTGTAAACATGCTCTTAAAGTATGTCTCCACTACCAGTAGATCGATGCTGCAGCGATTGACCCACTGTGTGTAAATTTAGTTGATCTAGAGAAGACACAGCAAATATGCTCCCACGGACTCTGGTGCTCCAACGGAACAAGATGTGGAAGTTTCTCCAGAGTTTCTCACGTTGACCTCGTGCAGTGTACATACTGCAGTAAGTTGATCTAAGCTACATTGACTAACAGGGTTCAAAAAAAGAGCTAGATAGATTCATGCAGGTTAGGTCCATCAATAGCTATTAACAGGGCTTGACAAATAATACAATCTACTCGCCTGTGGCGAGTAGATTGCAATGCAGAAGAGCCGGGTTCGGGCGATCTGCGCATGCACAGATCGCCGGACAGAGCAACTGGCGAGCGGGGCTCACCATGGTTCGGCAAGCCCTGGCTATTAGCCAGAATGGGTAGGAATGGTGTGCCTAGCCTCTGTTGTGTTCCCTCCCTCTGGGGCATCTGGTATTGGCCGCTGTCAGCAGACAGGATACTGGGCTGAATGGACTGTTGTTCTGATCCAGTATGGCTGTTCTTAAGTTATGCAATTCCAGCTACATGAATAATGTAGCTAAGCGTAAGTCAACTTTAGCACATAGTGATAGACCAAGTTTCATACTATTAACATATTTCTTCCATAATTAATTCACAGCTTTACATGCTTAAAACAAAAACTTGAAAAGGAAGAATGTTATTACAAGTAGGAGGTATGGTTAAATAAAAGTTTCATCGCTTAAAAATCAAGAAGTCGTATGATCAGAACATCTAGTCCCGAGTGAGAATTTAGCACTACTCCAAAACCCTTTCTTTTTATTTTGCAGACACACTGACAGGCTGCAGAGGCTTGAATGAAGCAGCAACAGTTTATGAACCTTCTTCAACCCCCACTCCAGCTTGGGAGTTTTTTGGCCAATTTTTCCCAACAGTTTTAGTAGGCTGGGGAGAGTATATCACCTGAGGATTTTTCAAAATTCTTATAAAGACTGTCTTCTTCAGTATACGCCTTCAAAATAACACGGAGGTGGATTTGAAATTAGAACTGGGTGAAACATGTTTTGAAGCTTCCCTTAAATTAAGCTCAAAAGTTCAAAGGCTTTTGGACTTCTCTTCTTGCAATAATCAACAGCTTTCCCCAGCCCTCTATCAGATTTGCCTCAGGGGTGGGAGGAGCTGAAGTTTGAGGAAAGACATGTGTTGGAGAAATCGAAGGAGTAAGTGACCAAGAAGGGTATGAAGATTTGGGGACTCTGTATAATTTGTGAATTTTTTCCACCAGAATGGTGCAGAAATGGAGACAGAGAAATAAAATCTATTTTTCCCCTTCCCCCGCCACACACGAGATCTGTGTATTTATTATGCACTTAAAGAGCAATAGCTGTGAGGAGTCCTGTGGCACCTTATAGACTAACTGAAGTGTTGGAGCATAAGCAATAGCTTATGCTCCAACACTTCAGTTAGTCTATAAGGTGCCACAGGACTCCTTGCCGCTTTTGCAGATTCAGACTAACACGGCTACCCCTCTGATACTTAAAGAGCAATGGCGTTATAATCCTATACAAAATCTGTATGGGTGTGTTTTTTGTTAATCTGTCACCTAAAAGCACCTGCTGGAATTCTGGGAGAGGGTGCATTTAAGATATAGCGAAGCCTGAGCAGTCATCCCTAGTCCCAGGAACTAGGCAGTTGTACCACAGGATCTATGCTCTCCGGAAAAATCAGCACTCCAGTAGCATGCCAAGGTGGAGCAGTGCCTGGACTAAGTTCCAGAGGCTTAAATCACATACGATCCTGCAGCTGCATGGAGAAGATGTTTGAATAGCACATCCTGGAGAACTTGGAGATGAGTGAGCAAGAAGGGTCACCACAGATAAGCTAATTCTTATCTCTACCAAAGAGATCACCACCTCAAAAGAAGTTGTGGTTCAGTTCAATGGCTGGTTTTGGTCCAATTCTTAATTTTTGTTAATTAGATTTTAGTCCCTATTTAAAAGGCCACAAAAGCAACAAATTCAAAGTTCAAATCCATGTTCTAATCATTAACTACTTATCCAGTTGCAGCATAAAATCAGCGACAAGAAACTAGGTTTTCAATGAGCTCTCAAAAGTGAGGACATGTAATCAGCAAATCAGTTTATTTTAAGCCTGTGAATAGACTTAAGAGTCCCACCTAAAACACAGTAATAGAACTGCTATGGAAGTTTGGACCCTGTAAGAAGCCAGTTATGCTGTTTAATTTCTGCATACCATGCTGACTGTTTACCAGGCAGTGTCATGGTTTTCTGGTGAAAAATTATTTTACCAGACTTCTTGTATATCCATAATATGGGAGCTGTCAAGAAGTGAATTCAGAAAAACGTGTGTATCTGTGAATCACTGCATCAGCACAATAGCCTGTATTAGACAGTGGCTTACATCAATGGTTCCCAACCACTGGTCCATGGACTGATGCCAGGCTGCACCCATGCTGGCTGCTCTGGCACTGGGGCCAGGGTATGCCCCAGGTGTGTGCCAGGAACTGCTGGAGCTGAAGCTAGCTGTTCGTGGTGGCTCTGGGGGCTGGGGCTGGGGTACACTGCAGCTGGCTTCAGCTCTGGCAGCTACTTGGACTGCTAGATGTCTGTGTTCTCTGAAAGAAGGGGAGAGGAGTGCGGGGGCAGTGGCTGGAGCAGGGAAGACCTACGCTGCCTGCCAGCCCTCAGCATGTGGGGTGGCCCTGGAAAGGCAGAGCCCAGCTCCTAGTGAGTTGGGGTTTGGGTGCGCGCGCACACACACACACACACACACACACACACACACACACACACACACACTTGTAATTCTTTTTTGTTTAGTGTTGTAGATATCTGCAAACTCTGATCTTGATTTTTTTTTGCAAATATGCAAATGAATGTGCATAATGAATATGCATATATCAAATGCTGCCAGTATGCCAAAAGTTTGTGAATGGGTTTGCTGGTCTGCAGTATAAAAAAGGTTGGGAACCACTGGCTTACATCATGTGATCTCTGTAGAAAGCAAGTTCTCATAATAAATATGGATAACTGTGTGACATTATACCATGGAGCTGAGGAGGTTGGTTGACAGATGAATTCTTCCAGGCACCAGAGGCACCAGCTGGTGATCAGTTTACATCATAGCTAATGTAAATGCAGATTCTATTAGAATTCAGAAAATGTAATCCCTTTGCTTTGAAGAAAGATTATCAGAATGATGGACTTATGACAACAACAACAGTGGGCAGAGCAAAGGAGGAAGCTGTCAGGTAGCCAATTATGGCTCATTTGGCTTTCTGTTAGAGCAATTTAGAAGCTGCTCTAGATTCAGTCAGTTGGCTAAGCTCACTTAAGGGACATCTACAGGGCTACAAAAGGACTAGTTGCACCAAGTCTCAGACTCACATTGTAGGTCTAAAAATAGCATTGTGGGTATTTGTCCTTGTGATGGAGCCCAGACTGAAACCCCACAAGGGGAATTACTGATGTATTCTCCTATGTTTCCCTAAAGACCAGTTAAGAGATGAGATGACAGGAGTTCTACTCTTTACCCCGTGATAACAACATTTCCTTAACCATCTGCTTAGGATAGAATATCCTGTCAGTCAGTCTTGACTAAAATTATGTACACTTTTTCCACCTTTACCTACCTTCATCTTTTCAGATATTGGTGAGAGGTCAGAAAGTCACAATTTTTACTTTTTCACAAGCTGTGCTGGTTTATTACTCTGATCTCTCCTTTATTGCCAATTGCGGAAAGTTTGCATTAGCATCTACTTATCTGTAAATTGCGAACCTGTAAAGTGATCTTCCTTGTTGATAGAGCAGCTGATATAGTTTGATATTTCCCATAGGGAATACTTCTCTTACCTGCGCATGGACTAACTGCAAAGCCCACTCTCTTGTGAGCCCTGTCAAAGATAACATAGAAGCCCTCCATAACTGTAGCACCAATAACCAGGGCATTGGTGGAGGAAGAGATGCCAAACCGGTAGCATTCTAAATTCTGTCCAATCCCAAGCAGGGGTTGAATATAAAGCTGTTTATTCAAAATAAAAATAAAACAAATAGTAAGTAGCAGCAATGCACAGTATTTAGAAGATAATGACATCAGCTCACAGCTGTGGATGCATTCATAAAACACAGCTCTTTATCTGGAATGTTCTCCAGAGCTTTTGATTTCTCATTTTGAGCACTCATTCATTGCTTAGCAGTTCATCAGATAAAGATGAATGTTGTAACTCACTTAAAACTGGGTAGAGTGTCAGTGGAGTTAAGAACCAGGAACACAGATGAAATCTGGATTTTTTATTAGCTGATACGTAAAGGTCACCTTCACTTTCATCTAAGCGATTGTCCTCATTCTTTGTGTGTGTGTGTGTGTGTGTGTGTGTGTGTGTGTGTGTGTGTGTGTGTGTGTGTGTGTGTGTGTCAGGGATATACAGTCAAATTACAGAAATATTCAAAAGGATGGGGGTGCAGTGGATCCAGAGAACATTCATGTCAACTTCAAGCCTTTTTAAAAGAGTGAGCTTAAGTCAATTTTACACACTCATTTCCCACTCAGGGGTGAAGTCAAACTACATGGTCTATACAGAAAAAGCTTTTTCATGTTAAGAGCATCTATATGTTTCAGTTAGTGAAGTAAGAGGGTGTCAAACTGATGTTTATATTGCCATCAGAGCTGAAAAAACAATCAGGAATGATATTTGTTTATGTTTAACAGAAGTGGCATATTATATTTTAAAAGCCAGGCAGTACATACCACATCTAGGTGATAATGATAATAAAAACAAAATTGCCAAAGGCATAAAGGCCCTTTGCCAAGAGTGCCATTTGCAGGAAGAAGTGCCATAGCTTCACTACCATACAAAATTATAATACATTTGTTTTACAAAATGGAATGATCAAAATCAGCTGAAGCAAAATAAGTATTGGTGACTGAGACAGAACTATTGCTGTTAAAAAAAAAAAAAAAAAGTGTGCAGAATCATTATTGGATTTTTTTCCCCTGACAATTTAAAAAAGTTCTCCACCTGCTCCACAGTTAGTGACAGAATAGGGATATTTTTGCAAAGCACCATTGACATTTTCCTCCTTTAAAATGTATTCTTCAAATTTCATCAAAACATCTTTAGCAGACCTGGAAGTAGCAGAATTCATAAAAATCATTGAAAACATTTTTTTGTAAGCATGAACTCCAATGATAGTTAAAATAAATGACTGGGGTTGATTATCTCTGCATCACCAGAATAGCTTTCTATGAACAGGATGAGCTGGGAAGCTGTACAATGCAATGATGAAAGAACTATGCCATCATAACGTTTAGCTCTCTGTTGCTGCAAGAATTATTTCACTGTAATGTGGCAGATTCAAACCAAATAAGATAAAGTTCAAACCTGTGGTAGGATAGTGATCCGAAATGATCTGCTAGAGTTTTCATCTCTCAGGTAGATAGAAAGTTTAGGAAATAAGGACCATGGTGTTTCAGTTTTATCCCAGCATGCAAGCTGGGAACCAGTCCAGAAACCAGAAGAGAATGTTTGAATCTATTGGGGAGGGGGAGGGGGGGGGAGAAAAAAAAATATATGCACATTATATTCTGTGATAATTAATATTATTACATTCATCCATGACCATCAATTAATCACCATTAACTCTTTCAATTAATTAATGATTAATCAGTTTTAATTGTATTGATAAACAATACCAACTGACATTTTATTTAATATTTTTCTACATTTTCAATTACAAAAAACAGACTACAAATACTTGTAATAAAAATAATATAAAGTGAACACTGTGCACATTGAACTGTAAAAATTACAAACAAAAGAAACACTTTTTCAATTTACCTCATACAAGCACTGAAGGGTAATCTCTTTAGGGTTGTCAGATACGGTCACAAAAAATACCGAACATGGCCGGAAAAAAATTGGTTGAGGACTTCCCTACCCCCAAAAATTTAACAGTCTTAAAATCCCCATGCACCACATTCCCCCAACCCCTTCCAGACACAGCAGGGGAAGAATGTCCCAAGCAGCCTTCCGTCCAAGAAAAACAGAAAATACTGGACATTACACGTCCGGTATTTTCTAGTTTGTTTGGTTTTTTTTTTTTTTTTTTACCCGACAGAGGCTGCAAATGCCGGACTGTCCCGGCCAATACTGGACATCTGGCAACTCTAAAATCTTGATTGTGAAAGTATAACTTACAAATGTAGTTTTTTACATAACTGCACCTACGTCTGGGGTGAGACCTGGGAAAAGAGCTTTGGGGTGCAGAAAGGGGCTCTGAACTGGGACTGAGGGGGTCAGAGGGCAGAAGGGGGATCAGAGAGCTGGGCTGCAAGATTGCAGGCTCTAGGCTGCCCTTACCTCCTCAAGAAGCTTCCAGAAGCATTGGCATATTCCTGTTGGCACCTACGTGGAGGTGCAGCCAGGCGGTTGCATGTGCTGCCCTTCTGCCCCGTCTGCCGGTGCTGCTCTCCTATAGTTCCATTGGCTGGAAACTATTATGTAGTATGGAGAGTTATGGGGGGTAGTGCTTAAGGCAGCAGCAGTGCATGGAGCCCTCTGGCTGCTTCACTATAGGAGCTGGTTGGGGGACATGCCACTGCTTCTGGGAGCTGCACAGAGCAGGGAAATCCCCAGACCTCGTTCCCCAGCAGGATCTTGGGGCCAGATTAACAATAGCAGATGGGCTGGAGATGGCTGGAGCGCTGTGTGTGTGTGTGTGAGGGGGTGGGGACGGGTAGAAAGGGAGGGGAAAGCTCTAGTTTGCCGCCCTCTGTGTTAGTGGCATCTGACTCAGATGAAGACGACAAATATGCATTTGCCCGGGATGGTTATCAAGCAGAGCCTGTTAGCAGCATGGGCATCTGTCCTCTGGAATGGTAGCTGAAGCATGAAGGGACATAAAAATCTTTAGCCCATTTGACACAAATGTTTTCTCCAACACTGACTACAACTGTGCCATGTGAATGGCTATTTTCACTTTCAGGTAACATTGTAAACAAGAAGCAGGCAGCATTATTTCCTGCTAATGTAAACAAATATATTTGTCTAGTCTGGTGTCAGCAACTTATGGCTCACTAGATAGCTAGATATGGCGCTTCTGGAACCCTCCCTCAGTTCTATCTAGGCCCTCCCACAGCAGGGAGACAGTGCTGGTGCTACAGTCTTACGCCCACCCCCCCACACAACTGGAATGCCAGTGCCAGATTCCTGCAGGGGATGAAGAGGAAGAAAGCCCCAAACTTCCCTGCCGGATCCAGCGTGTGGGGAACAAATGGAGTGAAAAATGGCTCAGTGCACTGCACTTTTCCTTCCTCTGCAACACACTTCTTGGAGGCTTCTTTCCGGCAAATGGGAGCAGTGGGAGGCCATGTTATACAGTGCATGTGACATGGCACAAAAACAAGTGCTCCTCACCCTCCCCACTCATCCCACCTGGCCAGACAGCCTGCTCCCAACCCACTCCTGTCCCCTCCCTTGCTCTGGCCCTCTCTCCCCAGCCAGACACTCTACTCCCACCCTGCTCCCACACCCTACCTCCCACCCAGACCTCACTCCCTTCTATACTCCACCTCCTGCCCTGATTCTGCACCCCCATTGCTATCCCATCCAGTGGTAATCCTATCCCACACACTTAACCCCTCATTTTTGGCCCCACCCCAGAGCCTAGGTGGGCCCACAAAATCCTCAACCCTGGAACTGCAGAAGAGTAAATCTGGGCAGAGGCCTCCTTGGTCCTCCCCCCACCATGGGGTGGAACACCAGGGGAGTGAGGTATTTCACTTGGGGGCCACATTAGTGTGGACTGGGGGGAAGCTGAAGCTTTGGTGTTTTTTTTTTTTTTTTTGCTTCTCACTTGTGTGGTCCCTGCTAAATAAAGACAATGTTGAAACCTTTTGTTGGACATATTTTACTTTATTTTAAAATGAAGCCTAGCCAACAAACCCCCAGTTGGAGCCCAGCTCCCATCTGGCTACAGCATAACAATCCTGCATCCCTCCCTCCCCCCACACCAACCCTGAGCCCTTCATATCCCCCAGACTCCTGCCATAACACTCCTGCACTGCCCCCCACATACCAACCTTGTGCCCTGAGCCGGTCATACACCCAAATCCCCTGCCCTGAGCCCTGATACATTCCAACCCAAACTCCTACACCCCCACATGACCACCTGCTATAAGATTGACAGAAGACATCCTGAATGCATGCAAGAAGCTGGGATTTGACCAGTTCTGATCTAATCTTCAAAGAAATATGCAAAAAGATGCAGCAGCAGAAGTCCCATTAAATAAAGTCTGCGAGCACAACATTTCATGTATGCCATTATTAATTGTGTCAATTATGTATAATATTAAGTTGTATATTTTCAGTCATGCAAACGGGCATTCTTATACAGCTCTTTGTTAACAACTTGTTCTGAATTTTGACGTAGTTTGGCTCTTTGATTTGAAAAGGTTGCCGGCCCCTGGTCTAAGTGGACAAGAAGTATGACTCTATGGACTTGCAGGCTTTGAAGTTTAGAGTTCTTTATTTTGGAATGCAGTTTTTTCCATATTTCTACATCTGTGAATTTCAACTTTCATGATGAAGAGATTGCAGCACGATACTTGTATTAGGTTAACTGAAAAATACTATTTCTGCTGTTTCTACAGTGCAAACATTTGTACAGGGAGGTCCTGAACTAGTTTGCTGGATTGGGGAGATCAAGTCTCCCCTCCTGGCTGTCAGCCCTGCTCCCAGCCCTGCCAGGGCTGTGCTTCTAGCTATTGGGGGCACCAGTCTGGGCTGTGCCACTTTACACTAAGCTGACCTGGGCGGGGCTGTGCCCCCCCCACCAGCCCCAGCTGGGGCTCTGCTCCCCACCACACTAGCTCCATTCCTTATCACCAGCCCAGCTCCTGAACCTGGCCAGCCGGGGTTCTCTGGTCCAGCAATATCTATGGTCTTGCTGAACCATGGATGTTGCTGGAACAGAGAGTCGTGGATTTTAGAGATTTAACCTGTAATCAAACAAATATAAAATGAGCACTGGACACTTTGTATTCTGTGTTGTCAAAATATATTTGAAGATACAGAAAACATCTAAAAAGATTTAAATAAATGGCTTTTAATGGCTTGACAGTCCTAATTTTAAATGCCTTAACATTCATGCATGCTTTCTTCTCCCTTCATTAGAAGAGTTCTTGAATGGACACAAATTACAGAAGAAGCAGCTTGTGCACATAAGCCATCAGTGAGGCCTGTCTACCCTTTTGGCTGGTCTGATCCAACAAACTAATTAGCATTAAGACATGCTATTAAAAAAAAATATCTTAAAGGCATGAACATGAAAGGATTATTATGCCTAGTGGCAGGATTCTAATTTAGCGTTAGCAGCAGAAACAGAATAGTTAGAAATGTAACTAGCTGCAGTAAATACGTAAGCAGGATGATCAAACTCATGAGCTCCCTGAAAATACTGCCACATCAACAGACAGAAAAAGCAGTAAGTAGCCTTTGCTCCCTCCCCACCCACTCCATAAATGTTCATGTACATCTGGAGCTCAGCACAGATACTAAGGAATAGGTACCCTTTAAACACAAACAATTTAACAAAGTCAAGAACCTCCTCCCTTCTCCAGAGACACAATATTGTCTTCAAAGGACATTTTAGAGCAGGCATTAAAATTGTAGCTTGCAAGTTCAATAAAATCAAAGGAAACCTTTACACGGACTTTAGAAGACTTTGAATCAGGCTGTTAGTCTCTCTTCCTGTCTTACAACTTCGTGCTTTTGAAATAAAATTGATTAACAGAAGTTCTTAATATAACCATGGTATTACGAACAATAAACGCTGGCAAAACTTCCCCACCCAAGACAAACATCCCATCCTACTTCCTGAAGCACATAAGTATTGACATGAAGCCTAGCTAGATGATGCTAGAGAAGAGAAACAGCTTCTTTAATCTCGTGTAGTACTTTGTGCCTGTTCCCTTATGAAGCATCACACAATACCTTACTACAACACACACACACACCATTACACCAAATACAGTGTTTAAGTGAGCAAAAAGGTTAAACTCAGTTTATTTATGCATATTCACTACAATAGACTCTCATCAGACATTGAAGCCATATATCCAGAAATTATTTATAGAAAATGCTAGTGGTGACTGACATGTGTTTACAGGTGTGCCTTACATTTTCTCTAAGTCATAATAAACGTGTGAATAAAAAAAAAAATAACCCTACAGCTTGTAAATCAAAACATAGCCTTCAGTCTTTTAGATAAACATTTCCTAATACAATACCTGGCAGTCATTCTTATACACCCCCTCTTGTGCTAGAGCCATTCCTCATTTTTTCAGGAAGAACGGCTCTTGCACAAAAACGGCTCCTAATTAACTATGCAAATGAAATGTGGTAATATGTTAATCTGCACTTCATTTGCATAGGCTTTTGCAGAAGAGGGAAGCTGTGTAGACGTAGCCTATATCAGAGGCAGTGGGGGTCCGCCTGTCCCCTCCTTGCTGCCACCCATAGAGGCTGGGGAGAAGCTTAAAAGCCGGCTCCCCCTGAGCGCTTGCACCTGTGATGCTGCCTCTATCAGAGGTAGCAGCAGGACAGGAGTGCAGGGAGGCTGCTGTGAAGCAGCTCCTATCCATGAGGGAGGTTCAAGCTCCCCACAGACAGAGGCTGCTGCTGCCTGAGCAGCCTCTATTTGTAGCAGCCCAGGCTGGCCACAGACAGAAGCTGCTTCGCGGAAGCCTCTCCCGCTCCCCACCCCCACTGCCTCTGTTTGTGGGGAGCTCAGACCCCCACAGACAGGGGCTGGTGCTGCCTTTGTATCAGACGCAGCAGTGCAGGGTGGCAGACAGACCTGGCCCACCTGGGGAGCTGATTTTTAAACTGGCTCCCCTCACCAACCTGCTCCTGATAGAGCAGCAGTGTAGGGTGGCAGGGAGTGCCCCATGAGTGGGTCCAGAGTGCACTGTCTGCCGGCTCCTACCGCTAAGAATTCATGCTGTTAGTTGACTATTCAATTAACCGATAGCTAACATCCCTAATCTGGGCACCTCACAATTTTTACATTTAGCCTCACATCACCACTGATATAGAGAAGTGTTATTATCCCTAGCTTATACATGGCCAACTGAGGCACACAAGGGCTACATCTAGACTGGCATGATTTTCCGCAAATGCTTTTAAACAAAAAAGTTTTCCGTTAAAAGCATTTGCAGAGAAGAGCATCTAGATTGACATGGACGCTTTTTTGCGCAAAACAAATCTGAGCTGTCTACATTGGCCCTTTTGCGCAAGGACTTTTGCCCGAACGGGAGCAGCATAGTATTTCCGCAAGAAGCACTGATTTCTTACATGAGATCGTCAGTGTTCTTGCGGAAATTCAAGTGGCCCGTCTAGACACAGCCAAGGATTAAATGACTTGCCCAAGGTCACACACAGAGCAGGAAATCCAACCTGGCCTTCCAAAGTCTCAGGCTAACATCCTAACTACTGAACTGACATTTATTCTTTTAGGCTTCACCTACACTGCAGGGTTTTTGCGGAAGAAGCCTTTCACGCAAGAGTTTTTGTGCAAAAACTTAAGAACATAACATAAGAACAGCCGTATTGGGTCAGACCAAAGGTCCATCTAGCCCAGTATCCTGTCTACGGACAGTGGCCAGCACCAGGTGCCCCAGAGAGGGTGGACCGAAGACAATGATCAAGCGATTTGTCTCCTGCCATCCCTCTCTAGCCTCTGACAAACAGAGGCCAAGGACACCATTTTATCCCCTGGCTAATAGCCTTTTATGGACCTAACCTCCATGAATTTATCCAGCTTCTCTTTAAACTCTATTATAGTCCTAGCCTTCACAGCCTCCTCTGGCAAGGAGTTCCACAGGTTGACTACACGCTGTGTGAAGGAGAACTTTCTTTTATTAGTTTTAAACCTGCTACCCATTAATTTCATTTGGTGTCCTCTAGTTCTTCTATTATGGGAACTAATAAATAACTTTTCTTTATCCACCCTCTCCACACCACTCATGATTTTATAGACCTCTATCATATCCCCCCTCAGTCTCCTCTTTTCTAAACTGAAAAGTCCCAGTCGCTTTAACCTCTCCTCATATGGGACCCATTCCAAACCCCTAATCATTTTAGTTGCCCTTTTCTGAACCCTTTCCAAGGCCAAAATATCTTTTTTAAGGTGAGGAGACCACATCTGTACACAGTATTCAAGATGTGGGCGTACCATAGTTTTATACAGGGGCAGTAAGATATTCTGGGTCTTATTTTCTATCCCTTTCCTAATAATTCCTAGCATCCTATTTGCCTTTTTGCCCGCCGCTGCACACTGTGTGGAAGTTTTCAGAGAACTGTCCATGATAACTCCAAGATCTCTTTCCTGATTTGTTGTAGCCAAATTAGCCCCCATCATACTGTACGTATAGTTGGGGTTATTTTTCCCGATGTGCATTACTTTACACTTATCCACATTAAATTTCATTTGCCATTTTGTTGCCCAATCACTCAGTTTGGTGAGATCTTCTTGGAGTCCCTCACAGTCTGCTTCTGTCTTGACTATCCTAAACAGTTTTGTATCATCTGCAAGCTTTACTATGTCACTGCTTACCCCTTTCTCCAGATCATTTATGAATAAGTTGAAAAGGATTGGTCCCAGGACTGACCCTTGGGGTACACCACTAGTTACCCCTCTCCAATCTGAAAATTTACCATTTATTCCTACCCTTTGCTTCCTGTCTTTTAACCAGTTCTCAATCCAAGAAAGGACCTTCCCTCTTATCCCATGGCCATGTAATTTACACAAAAGCCTTTCTTGTGCAAAAGTGCATCCAGACCTCAAAGCGCATCGCAAAAGCAATGTGCTTTTGCACAAGAGAGCATCCACACTGCATGGACACTCTTGCGCAAGAAAGCTCTTATTGCTATTCACGGAATGGCCATCAGAGCACCTATGCTTTTTCCCCAGAGGGGTTTCCTGTGCAAGAAACCCCTGCGGAGCGTCCACACTTGCCTTTTTGCATTACAGCTCTTGCGCAAAAAGCAGTTATTCCTCGTGGGGAGAGGAATAACTGTACCGGCAAAAGCCCTCTGTTCTGCTGATTTACTTGCGCAAAAACGTGCTTGAGGTGTGGATGCTCCACCTGTTTTTGCGGAAAAACGGCCGTTTTTGCACAAAAACCTTGTCGTGTAGATGTAGTCTCAGAGCAAAGACTCCTCAACTGAGGCTACAGTGCTCCTCCCACGCGAGGGGACTGCTTTCTTTACAAAGTAACAGGTGGCATCACAACAGCAGTGTTTGGAGAAATGTTTTGAGATGGTAATCTGCTTGTTTCCACAAAGAATTCTGAAAGATCAAAGATGCCAATGGGCCAACCAGCACCGGACAGGCTGCTATGTGTTAAGGGCTTCAGTATGACATGGTAGTGAGTCAAGCAACTGGTGTGAATTTAAGCACACACTAAATGGTTAGCTGGCTCAGGACACAGGGTTCAGCACATTGAAGATCTCAGCCTTAGATCTGTCCTACTGGAAAATAGTCTAGAAAGAAAATACTTCTTCTGTCTCTCAGCTTCTCTAGGAAGACAGCCCTCCTGTCCCGACACACAGCTTGAACAGGGCCAGTCTATAAGGTTTTGAATACTTGCTGTGATTTCAAGAATAATAGTTTGTTACATTACACTTGCCTGCCTTATTTTTATATGACCAAATAAATATATTTTGTGAGGCACGGCTTTATACCACATAACCGGACCATGGAGGCCACCAAAATAAAGGATTTTAGTTGCATTTAAGAGCCCCCCTCTCACCGTAACTTATTAACAACACGCTAATCTAACAAGTGCCTTCCACAAGCAAAGCATGTTGAAATTTCTACTAGAACACTGACAGTATAAAGTACAGCTACTGAAATATATCTGATGTGAAGCATGATCCTGCTAACATTACTCACATGAGTCAGAGTCTGAGACTCAGAATCCCCACCCACAAACAGTCCTGATTTCAGTGCGACTGGTTCCAGAGCAAGATGCTTCCAAATAGAATAGTGGCAGAATCAGACCCATCAGCATCTTTATAGACATGAATAGTCTCATTGACGTCCACAAGACTCTAACGACAAGCAGGCATTATGCCTGACAGGAAGTGCTTGCAGAATTAGCCCTTTATGTTTCATGAATGTTTCAAAACAAACAGTGAACTAATTGTCAGATGCTAGTACACAGAATTTGAGAGGCAGCGATTACATTATTGGTTCTTCGGTGCCTCAGAACAAGCCTTACACCACTGCAAATGTCCCCACCTTTTCCATATTAGAACCCCATTTTCCATACTGAGACCTGACCCCAACTAGAGCCATTGCTCATTTAGCAAAGTGGGCAAGTTGATCACAACCTCCAGACACACCAGGTTGTGGCCCCCTCAGGTTGCAAAAACTCATAAGCTAGTATTACACAATACCTGAAAACGTACACGGTCCTTCAAGGAACAAGGAAGGTTTTACATGATCGGCTTACCAGAGATGTGCGCACAATTGCTTCAACCACAGCATTGAAGACCTTCTGGGGCAGCCGGAGGAGAGTAGTGCCACTGTCTACTATTGCTTTGTCTGCATTATACTAAGAGAACAAGAGGGAAGGAACACAGTTAACATAATGTATGCAGGTTCAACTTTGTAGCCAATTGCTTTGTAACAATTACTAGACTGTTCTTTTCTCAGTAGCAGTCATCAACCTTTACTTCATGTAATCTGAGAGCACTCTGCAGCTGGCAGCCAGCATAAAACTAAGGACTAAGAATGAAAGACAATGAATGAAGGATTCCCCCCATAGTTGAAATGGCTCACCATAACTTGAACACACTACAAGAGGCAAACGTATTATGACCTATAGTACTATGGACCTGGCTTAAAACAAATTAGGGAACTTCAGTCCTTATTTCTGCTCATCATACTGAGTCACCACGACTAACAGAGTCACTATAAAAAAGGTCACTTCTTTGTCATACTATAAGAAGTAAGGCAGAAATGCAAATGGAACTCTGAACCAGAATGGTAAAATCAAGTCTTGTCACATTATAATCTGTGCTTGCCAAACAGACATGTTTCTCTTCACTATACAGAAATCCAATAAATGAAAAAGCTTCGCAAACACGAATACATAAATATTTACAAGGTGGTCTTTACACAAAATATGTTAGTAACCACCAGTGTTTCCTGGAATCCAGGAGTGGGCAATATTTGGTGGCGGGGGGCGCTGGGGGGGGACGGGACGGACACTCCAAGATTTTGGAAAGTGGTTGAGGGCCGCACTCTTCCATGATATTAATGGAGGAGATGCAGGATCTGGGATGGAGGTTGGGTGCAGAGGGGAGCTTGGGGTAAGGCACTGGGATGCAGGAGGGAGACTGGAGTCTGGGAGGGAGTTTGGGTAAAGGAGGCGGTTGTGACCTAGGTCAGGTGACTGGAGTGCAGGGGTTTGGAATGTGACCTAGGGTCAGAGGGGATTGTGATCTGGGGCAGGAAATTGGGGTGCCAGATCTGGGAAGAGGTATAGATGCAAGAGGGGACAGAGGGTTTGGGTATGTCGAGTGGGGGAGAGGGTTGAGTCAGGGAAGGGTCAGGGTGCCAAAGGCAGGCTGTGGCCAAAAGACTTACCAGCCAGCTGCCAAACCAGCCTGCCTGTCTGAAGAACTAAGGCTTGCAGAGCTTAAAACATTTCCCAGACAGCCAGCCTTCCTGGTTGCCTGGCCATGTGCTTCAGTGAATATCTCAGTTGAGGAGAGATGGCATGGTTCTTCTTGGCTGCCCATTATTTTGGCCAGAAACGGGATGGGGGCAACTGGGGGAGGGGGCGACTCCTGAAGCTTCCCTCCTCCCCTCCAGTTTTGAAACAGAAACTGAGCCTGGCAGCTGTGTTTCTGCACAGCGCATGGGTCTGCAGGGCAATCAGGGGAGCCTGCTTAGGGCTCCCCACTGCCTCCGTGGCTGGATCTGGTGGCTTGTCAGGCCAGATCTGGCCCCGCAGGCCATATTTTTGCCCAGGTCTGCTATAAGCTGAGCACTTGGGCAGCCACCCAGGATAGATTCAAATGCTGCTCAGCTGATTAGCAGAGTGCTCACAGCGCTCAGTGCACATACCAAAATTGAATCCACACCTGGATGGAAACAATTAGAGGGAACACCCGTGACTTCATGTTTTATCATTAACAGTAATGGTAGTTTTTTCTCCCTATCAATTGAACTAATATTGAGAGTTGGGTCTTGTGGCAAGGTCTTTAATGAGTTTACTACTTCTGTCATTTAAGAGTGTATCTTTTAAGTTTAATGAATATCAATTACATGGAAATATTTTCAATGCAGCTTTGTAATGTGGCAGTGAAACTCAAATTTTAATACAAAGAAACTTTGGGGTTCAGATAGTGCTTGATCCTCAGATAGCTGAGCACCACTAGAAGAAATGTGGAGAGTCTAAGCATTACCTCAAAGCATTCAGCCTTCACTCAACACATGTGCAGAAATGCTTCTATGGAGCAGAGGGAAAAAACAAACTAGCAAACAAACCCATCAGCGATTTTTATTATTTTCAGCTATTCCTCTACCACCACCAACTGGCATCTCAAAGCTGAACTTGGAAGTAATATATAGCAAAACAGTCATGTTAGTTACCCACTGCCAGAAATACATGGAGAGGGTGCAAAGAAAGCAAATTACTCACAATCTAACAGCTCAATGCTTTCTATGCCAGTCACAATGTGTTCAGACCCACCAGTGTGCAAAGCCTGCTCTCTTTAGCTCAATCTTACTGGATCACAGACAACAATCTGCCATATGCTGCAGCCATGCGGGCAGCTCAGCACTGGTCTATCCAAAATATTCACCCGGAAGGATCAAGACTGTAATTGCAATAGTACTCAACAGCTTCCCAGTACTGAAGCAAAAGAGATTTGTTTTTACACAGAAAAAAGGAGGACTGTTGCCTCTTGCAACTGTAAGATTTACAGAAGTGCTCTATTTCCTAAATCATTAGTAAATACCAAAGGGCAAGTCCCTACCATCACAGTTCATCCTCCCAAGGTACTCATTGTACATTTATGCAAATTCAGAAAGACTAACAAGCTTGCTAATCTCATAACTACTATGACCTTTGCCTACTGTTTATCTCCTAAATTTTAATTAGAGAGTCTGCTTTGATTGTTGCAGGGGCTAGGTCTTCAGTACAGTGACTAGCATAGCTTGGGCATTATAGAAATGACAGAAAATAGCAGCAGCAAGAGTAACTGCAAAAAATATTAAATCTTCAATTTTATCCCTGAAGTTAAAGTGGAAAATATTTTTGTCAACCAAAAGGCTACTGAAGCAACGGCAACTCACTTCTCACTAGTACAATTAATCAAACATTCAAAGTGCCTGTAATACAACGGCTGCAGCTGTGCAATCCCTTGTGAACACTGGCGTATCTGCAGTATCTACCTACATTTCCCTTGGTCTAGGTTACTTAAACAAAACTGCACATAGTCTTGCTCATCCACTCAGAACCCCTCTTTGAGTCTGGTGTATTGTTAAACACAAATACCAAAAAAAGCAAACAAAATCTTCCACTCAGCTTTCTGCTAGGCACGGTCTCTTTCCACTGAGAAAGAATGTTTAAGAAAATGCCCAAAGGAACACGCACAACTTTCAGCTAAGTCTTCTTACCCAGTCCCAACTTCCTTTGTGAGGGACCATGACAGGAGACCCTGTGTCCCTGAAGCTTCACTCTTCCATTTCCCACTCTAGATTTAATCCAGTGGTTCCCAATGTGGTGCCCACGGGAACCATGGCGCCCGCGGGGGTATTTGTGTGCGCCCGCCGACA